GGGTAAATCAAACCAGTTGTTTGTGACTCCTCCAAAAATCAGCGTTTGCAGGGCCTGGGGCAGGCAGCAGGTTCAGTTCCCGCAACCCCCGTGGATCCCTTTAATTAAGAATTTAAAGGCTTCAGAGTGACCCAGTGGTTTGGGACCTGGGCAAGAAGCCCGGGGGTGAGTTCTGAGGCTGGAGGGGGGCTGCTGGGGGGCTGTCAGCTGGGTGCAGCCCCCCACATCCTCTTGCATCCCAGGTTGCCATCGCTCTTTGGGTGAAATTTCATTTGGGCTTGGCTTGTTTTGGGGAGGGGTCTCCTTGTTTCGGCTCCCCCGTGACTCAGCTTGTCCCCTTACGCCTTGCAGCACACAGCATCTGATGTGCAGTGAGTTTGCAGGGCCTCAGCCCTCCCCATGCACCCGTCCTGCCCCATGGCTGGAGGGGGCCATGCTGTTCGTGTCTTTCCCCCCCCTTGCTGAGGTTTGCAACCATGGGTTAATCCACCCGAACCCTGCCCGGCTGAGCCCGTGTGGGGCAGGCCACAACTGCCCGAGAGCTGCCCTGTTGTTTGCTGCCGTAATCTGTTTTGAAAAGGCAGCCCCTGATGCTGTTTTTTTCCAATTAGGCCCTGGGAGATGATTCTGGTAAGGCAGTGGCCGGGCTAATTTACCAGGCAGACATTTCATTGAATTAGCCCGTGAGCTGCAGAGCAGAACGGGGAGAGCAGAGCCCAGGCTGGGGCAGGACTCGCCGGCGAGGTTTGGCATGATGCTCACGGCAAATAGCCATGCTCTGTCTGAGCCCAAACCTGCTCCTGTGTTCGCGTCTGACCCTTGTTGGATGGGGGGGGTGAGCTCAGCCCTGGTGGGAAGTGCTGGGAGAGGAAGGATGGGAGTTTCTCAGCTGGGCTGAGAGTGCTGGTGGCTGGCAAAAACCGCACCGTCGACTTGCAAACCATGCAAATCTGCTATGGATGTCACTGAAGGAGAATAAATACAGAAGCCTGCGATGCCGCTCGTTCCCAGAGTCACTTTTCAGGCCGTAACTTTGTGCTGCAAGGCGACATCAATTAAAGAAAATGTATCTCTGCAGCAAGCGGTTTTGCATGCCTGCCCGGAGGAGTTCGATATGGCTGGGGACCCTCCCTCCACCCGTTCCTGTCCCCATTGGGGACCTAGCATCTGGGATCACTTCCCAAAAGCCAGCGAGGGGCAGGGAGGGTAACGCAGCCCTGCTCATATGAATCCCAATTTTATTCAGCAATGGTTTGTGCGCCAGGGGGGTCCCCATGCCCACCCTTGGGTCGTAGCCCCCTCTCTGGAGCCGCCCAGTAGCGAGCGCCAAGGCATTCGCTCAGCGTGGGATATCTAAATATTTCAACAACTCTCAACTCCCTTTTTAAGCCAGAAGGAGAAATGGGACTGCGCCCCGGGGAGTCCCCCTGCGATGCCTCTGCGTCCCCGTCCCGCTGTGGGAGCAGGAGCCGCAGGGCTCGGCTCAGCTCACAGTGCGGCCTGAAGCTTTTAGGGGACCCCCTAAAAACACACGGCTTTTTGTCGGGATGAGGTGGGGGGGCTCTGTGGTGCCTGAGCCTGGGGGAGGCTGAGCCCAAAATGCCCCTTTCCAGGCAGGCTGGGATGTGCTTGTGGGGAGTGGATGGAAAATGGGGATGGGCTGATCCCTGGCGGCAGGGATGCAGCTGCTGGGGCTGTTGTATGGCCTCTGCAAGGGCTGGAAAAGGCTGTGGTAGTTGTCCTGTCCCTTTCTGGGTGTATTTACCTTATAATTCCCAAGACCTCAATTAGTCCTGAGATTGGGGCTCTTGCTCCTGCCCTGAGAGGCGTTACGTCCCCTTCCGCATCCCTGCAGAAGAGAGCCGTGGCTTAGAGAAGGCTGGTTTGTAGTCAGGGACTATTTTATAGGCACAAACTGGGCAGAAAATGAACTCCTGAGCTGCCAGTGTGTAGGATTTGGTGGGGAGGGGGGTAGGAAACTTCCTCCTTTCTGAAAGCGTTCACCTCCAAAGAGATGAGAAAAGGCAGCTCTTCTCTTCTGGTTCGTTTTAAATTTTTTCCCCCCCCCCCCCCCTTTTTTTTTTTTTGTAACATTCTCTATTTTAACAAGCAGGAGCCTGGCTCCTGATTGGGGCTGGTAAAACGCTGATCCCAGCAGCCACAGAAATGGGAATGCTGGAGATGGGGCACGCGGAAGCCCAGCCGTCCTCGAGGCAGCGCCTGTCGGACTTGGAGGTGACCAAAAGGTCCCCGGGGCCAGTCCTTCCCTGCCCAGGGTTGTTCTCTGAGGCCGCCTGCTAGCTCCAAACCTCAGGCTAATTGGATGCTGCTCTCTGAGCTCTAAATCAAATCACAGCTCCCATGAAATGAAGTTTTCTGGATGCTAACGGCCGTCTGCATCATCCATCACCGGCCCGGCTTGTGGCACATCCCTCACGGGGCTCATCGAAGGTCAACCTTTGCCTTTTCCAGCCACCCGCCGTCAGCTTTTCCCTGTTAAGGAAGGCACCTGGGGAGGTGGTAACTCTGTCAAAGGCTCCCCTGTGCATCCCCCCGCTGTCGCTGGTGCCCCTCGCTCTTGGCAGCGTTTCAGGGTGCAATTTGGTAACAGGGCGCAGGAGCTGAGCGTGTCGGGGTCTATTATTAGCTCTGCGTCAGGTCCCCTGATGGATGGAGATGTTAGCTGGGTTATGGACCTATTGATTTCTCAGGGTTTGGGTTGGTTATTTTTTTTCCTTTGTTTCGTGTGCGAGGGCAGCTCGAGGAGGAAATCCAACGCGCACCCGCCTTTTGGCTTCGTACAGGAACTTTCCAAGAGCTGAAAATCAGTTTGCGGCAGGCAGGATCCTGCAAATCACTGCAGCAGAGTGAGGAGCGGGGGTGATTTGGGCGGGGGCGAGAGGGTCATCAGATCTCCCTGGCTGCAAGCGGCTGGCGCTCGGGCACCATCAGTTATCCTCACTCTGGACGAGGCACAGGGGGACGCGGGGACCGGTAATGAAATGCGGTTGTGCTGGGCATCACCGGTGATGGGGGCAGCGGGTGCACCCACTTCTTGGGTGCAAGTCTCTCGATTTTGGTGGAACGGCAGGTTTTGGGTGCGGCATCATCACTTCCTGGCGGTTTGGGTTTACCCGCCTTTGCAGCACCCACCTTTCCTGCCAGTCTCCCTAAAAAAGCAATTTATTTAGCCCCACTGAGGGGGCAGAGGTGGGTGGCATCAGGAGGGATGGAGACACTGGGCAGCCCCCTTGGGCAGGGGGGAAGAGCTGACGGTGGGGGGGTTTTCTCCTTGTGCTCTCTCCCAGGGCCGCTGGCATCTCCCCGTGGCCATGCAGCGCTGCCTGTCCCGGCCAGCTGCCCTGGGGCCGGCGTGACCGTGACGCCGTGCCTGTCCTTTTCCAGGTAAGTGCCTGTGGGATGGCAGGGGGACACTGGGGCTCGCCTGCCCCGAAGGGGATGGAGGGGAGAGCCCCTTTCCCAGCGGCACGTAAAACATTGTCCACTTGTGAGATGATGCATCCGCCTCCCCCATAATTAATTTTAAAGACGAAAAGGCCAAGTGCTGACTAAGCCAGGCCTTCTTCGGCCTGCGAAGCTGTGTGATTCATGAGCCGCTGATAGCACAGCCTTGCCCTGGAGTATTTCTCTGAGATTGGGAAATGCCTCCTTTCCCTGCTCCAAATAAAGAAAATACATATAATAATAATAATAATAATAATAATAATAATAAATCATCTACAGGACCCAAAATGCTTTTTTGCATCACGGAGGTACCCAGGGGCGCAGGCACGGGCTGACCCCTGTCCCTATGGGATGCGGGATGTGAAGCAGGGCTTCCCGAAGGTCCCAAATCAAGGCAAATTCTCAGGAAGCAGGGAGACACGCGGGAAAGGTGCTGGCGGGCCATGGTTAACCTCTTCCTCTGCTCCTTCCAGGTTCAACGCCTCCGTCACTGAACGTAAGTAGCCCCTAGACCCCGTGGCACGGGGATGGTGGTGCGGGCTGCTTGGCTCGTGCCAAGCCCATGTTAGACCCATCGGTGCCTGGCAGGCAGCTGGGGTGCATTTTTTTGGGGGCTCAGACTGCCAGAGTTGTGGAGTTCAAAGGCTCCCCTTTGGCTTTTCCCAGTGTAAACCCAGGTTTGCTTCTGTGTTTTGAAGCAGAAGCTGTATTTTCTGCCAGGAGGATGGAAATCAGCCCTTTTCGCTCAGCAAGGGGGGGGAGGCTCTGCGGGTGGACGGCAGGGCATTTCCCAAAGACCCCAAGGCAGAGGCAGCGGTGGCAGCGAGGGGACGTGATGCTGCATCTTGGGTGTCCTCTCGCTAGGAGGAGGAGAATGATGCTGGACCATAGTTTTCCAGTTGGGGAGGGAAGAACAGGGATACAGTATTTTGGGATGCCTCACAGGTGTCATGTCTCTGACATGATGAAACCATGGTAAGTGACTTTCACGTCCCGGGGTGACGCCTGTCCCTGTGGCCCTGCCTTTCAGAGTTTGATGGAGAATCGGTCGGATGACAGCGGGAACTGTTGTTATCACCGGGGGAATCCTAGCAACAGTGATCCTACTGTGCATCATTGCCGTGCTCTGCTACTGTAGGCTACAGGTGAGCGCCGTGGCCGTCCCCCACCGCGCCACAAAACCCCAGCAGCGTCACTGCTCCTCGGGCCAAACTGCTGCTGCAGGAGGGGTCTCGGTGGGGTTTTCTGACCTGTGATGGGCAGGGAGTTGAAACCCCCTTCTCCCCCAGGTGCTGCAGAATTACGTCCTCTCCTCCTCCCAGCACGGGGGGGGACTCCCCTAAGGCTTTTTGAGGATCTGCAGCGCTTGCTAATTTAGGCGTAGGCTTGGATGGGTTTGCAGTCCTAGACGGAGATTTCTTTTTGGTTTTTTTTCCCCCTGTAAATTAAACGAGGAGGCTTTCAACAACAGCTAGCTACAGCCTCCTGCTCTTTAAAAGTTAATGTGAAGTCTGGGCCATGCAGCAGTGCCCTTGTGATGAAAAGCACAGCGGTTACTTGGAGGAATTTCCAACTGGCATGGTAAAAAAAAAAAATACCTTCCCCTTGCAAACCTCGCTGGGAGGGGAGAGGACGAGTTCCCTGGCAGGTGCCTCCTGCTGCATGCTCAGGTCCTGGCCAGGTTTTGTCCCATGTCTGCTGCCTTGCAGGACCCAGGTGCCAATGGAGCGGAGCAGCGAGAGGCCAGCAGAGGATTTCTCTGGCAGGGGGATGAGGGGAGGGGGGGTGCAGCAGGGCTGGCTGCCAAGCCAAACCTGCCCGCTGGCTGCTTGCTCCCCCCAGTGTAACCCCTTCCCTTTCACACAGTACTATTGCTGCAAGAAAGATGACTCTGATGAGGAAGAGGAGGAGGAGGAGGAGGAGGAAGAGGAAGAGCCTGACCTTCCCACACACTCGCACCTTGGCACGTGCAACGCCTGCAACTCCCGCATGGTGGATGGCCAGGGCAGCCCCGTGCCCCCCCCAAGTGAGCTCAACCAGCATGGGGCTCACAACTACTGCCCGACCTGCTCCCCATATGGCTCCCCCTTTTACATCCGGACTGCTGACATGGTGCGCAATGGGGGCGAGAGGGTCACCTACGCCCCCGCGTGCTACAAGGAGATGGGGCCGCCCATCAACATGGCCCCCCTGCAAAGCTACCCGGTGAGCCGCCACGGCCTCCTCCGCGAGAGCTTCCCGAACCCGCGGGCGATCAGCACGGAGGTGTAGTCACCATTGCCACTAGCACAGGGTGTCCCCAGCCGGCACCTGCTCGAGGGAAGGGGCTTTTCACTTGTCTTTGGAAGGGAGAAGACAAGAGAGACCTCGAAGGGCGACGTTAAACCGGCCCCCTCCGAACCCATCATAAGTGTCATTATTATTCTACTCTATCTCCTGAAGGGACTTGTCTAACGAGGGCTATGTACAGTACCACCTAATTTAATTACCCCAGGCTCCCCCAACTCCCTGAGCCCTGAGCGAGGCCTCCGGTGTCCCCACGCAGCCACCCGAGGTGATGCCCCCCGCCTCCGGCACACGGATCGCTGCGTGGCCACCTGCGAGCCGCCGCCTCCGGCAAATCCCACCGCTGAGCTGGGGATAGCAGTGCTCCTTGGTGACGGGAAAGCGAAGAAGGGAGGATCTGGATCGTCCTGCTCCCCTCGTACTGCGTTAGTTGCCGCTAGCAGTTAGCTTTTTTGTTCGAGTGTAAGATAGGACACCGTCCCCCACCCGCTTCCGTCTTTGCACGTGCTGAAGAAGTTCAAGATGTGAGTTGAGATCACCGCCGGGGGAGGCAAAGTTGCTCGCAAAACCGCTCACCCACGCAAACGGGCACAGGCCGATCCTTCTGCGGCCGAAGCTTCCACCTCTTCTACTCTTCACGAGCTTTCTTAGGAGCGATTTTAACTTGGACCCATACAAATGGCAAGATTTTACTTACGGGAAGAATTGCATCCCTAAAAAAACTGCAGGTTTGGTCACCTTCAGCTTTGAAAGCCCTACCCAGCCTACCCTGACCACTCCGGGCAGCCAGATGGAAGTTGGATTTGGGATGGCTTTTGTTTCTGACGGCAACAGCAGAGACCACCGGGTCACGTCTCCTCCTTTGTGGGGCCTGCGACCTCCCATGGGAGAGTGACATTCAGGTGATCGGGGTCCTCCCCCGTTTGCTTTTGGAAGAAGAGGGTGCAAGACCCGAACCTGGGTTCACTGGCTCTGCGGCTGGTCATGACAGCCAGCGACTCTGCCTTTCTGCACAAATGGATGTGGGAAAAGTTCCTTCTTCCTCCATAAATCAAATTAGGTGAAAAATTACTAAAAGGACAGCTCCGTCATTCACGGGCACTTCCATAGCAACCAGTGCAGGACCGCCTGGCTGAGCACTTCCCATTCGTGGCAGGGAGGAGGGACCCGGACAGCAACGATCCCCGCAGCCACGCGGATGCAGTTGGAGGCGATGGCAGGAAACGCTTGCCATGCCTTTGCAATGTAGGGTACAGCTGCTCAGAAGTGTGTTCGGTTTCCTTTTTTTTTTTTTTCTTTCACCACCACAATTTAGAAATAATCCTGCTGCTCACAGGACTTGGACTTAACCTCCCCGTTCATGCACAGAAAAAGTAGGTCTCTGCGTGGAGGTGCACGCTACGTGAGCCTCGGATGTCTACGTTACCAGGCAAAACTGGCTAATTGACACTTTGGACCTGCTCATGCCATGGCAGCTCTGCTCAAACCACCAGAAGGCAAGGAGCCAGCTGAATGCCGAATGTGGTGACGGTCCTTGTAACCAAACACCTTGCTCTAGCCCACATTTTACACAGCCTTTTGGGCAAACATTGTGCACCGTCTCCCCCACCTCTGGCCCAGAAAGACATTGCATTTGCAGTATCCCGAGACTCAGTCTGGCTGCATCTCTTTATCTCTTTTAGAGAGGCTCCTTCTGTTCTCCAAATAGCGATAGCAGGTCTTTAAATGTCCTCGCACATTAAGGGCAGGCAGGAGGCAAGATGAGAGTCAGCAGCAGCAAAGCACTCTGGATCCCGCTGGCCAGCAGTCGGTAGCTCCTACTGCATCCCAGCCAGCCAGTGCTCCTCCCTGAAAAATCTGTAACTGGAAAAAAGTCTTGGCTAACTCAGTAAATCCCATCCTCTCCCACTAGAGCATCTGCTCAGCTAGGTCTCCATCCTGCTGGGAGCCATGAGAAGTTACCACGTCCCAGCGCGACCTGTGGGTGGCCGCCTGCACAGCTCTGCCAGACGGCACTGCGGTGCCGTCCCCTCGAAGGGCGCAGAGCCAGCTCATGGGCACGGTGGCTCCCAGCGTCCAACTCTACCTCTTGGCACGCAGCAAGGCTCCCCCCCCCGCAATGGCAGCACATGCCAGGCCGTGACCTCTGGAGGGTGGGAATAACGCCACTTTTTTGGGGGTTTTTGCTTCTGTGGGTCACCCTTCTGGTGAAAGGCAGGTGACCACATCGTCATCTTCATCACATGCAAATTAAGCATGACCTGTTGCCTGCTAATGAGGTGCCCCCCCTGGCAAGGCAGTTCCAGAGCAGCTGGATGGCCAAGATGAGGGTTATCCTCATGGCCAGCACAACACCCTGGGCCTGGCACGGCCACATGGAAACAGGTGAGCCTGAAAGGGCTGGAAAGGTGAGAGATGCAACTGTGGGTTTTTAAGGTTTTGGGGATGGTGGAGGAACAGGACAGGGTAGGGGCAGGGATCCCAGATTTTTTTCACTTCAGATTCCTCCTGTTGTTATTCTGTCTTTGTTGCTCAGCTATGGGTCCAAATACAATGTCAGAAATAAATGAGGACTTTGAAATACAAAACAGGAGTGGTTTCTGTGCTTTGGCAGGCAACACAAAATGGGATTTATCCAGTGCTGCCTGGAAGCTGGATCCTGGTGCAAGGACTTTTTTTCCTCCCCACCCTTCTTGCTCCTGCTTTCCTTCCTCGAGTTCCTCTTCCTCCCTTGCCTCTGGCCTAGGTACATGCATCCCAAACCCCCGGTTTTACGTTTAGCTCTTTATTGTGACACAGAATTTTTCAGTGTGTTTTGGCAATTGCCCTTGTAATAGAAGAATCTGCACCCACCGCCTCCAACTAGAGCTCTTCAGAGGTGACGACAGCAAGGACAGGCTTTCCCAACTCACATCTCGGTAGCTTTCTAGGAACTGATGGTTTGTCTTGTCTAAAATCCTCTTGGTGGAGAGGGAACAGTGATGACTAAGTCCTAGGAATCCTTCCTCGCTGAGCAGGCTGGTCTACAGGGACTGGCTCCATAGCCAAGCCAAGTGGGGTGGCTTCAAGTGGTAAAGTCTGGCTCAAGGGGGTTCTTGCCCCTGAACTTGGAAGGGAAGCACGGCCTGGCAGCAGTCAGGGTGACTTGAGCCGACACGACTGGCAGCAAGCCTTCCTGTAGTACCAGTGAGAGCACAGCTTCACCTTCAGCACCAGCACGCAGTTGGCCGTTGCTTTGTCTTCACAGTCTTCTTCTGGGAAGCAGAAACATCCACAGAAGGGGTTAAAAAGGAGACAGATGTGCTTCCCCAGCAGACAGCTGGACAGAAGGAAGGGCTCCCAAAGGGCTCCTCTCCCTCCCTGCCCTGCCAGACTCACCTGGTGCTTCTGTGGGACATGGCTGGAGTTGGCACGTCTGCCTGGCTTCTGGTTTGGAAGTGGGGTCACAGCCCTGAGCCAGCGCTTCCCCCTGGTAACACTTCACCTCACGCAGCCGCACACCAGCACCACACGTCTTGCTGCACTGTCGGGATCGAGAGAGAGGAAAGGGATTGTGAGAGGCTTTTTTTTTTTTTTAAATTTTTCTATAGTTCCCAAGTTCATTCTTCCAGTGAGGCCTCCCAGTCCTTGCTTTGGAGACTGTTCTTGAGTAGGTTTGGGTCAAATCCCACAATGATTTCAAAGTTATGCTCCCCTTTATTACTGAATGAGAGCCTCCCTAAGCTGGGGCTGGGGCAGAGCAAGGGAGGAGTTTGCTTTCATTTCTTTAATGCAACTCAGAATTGTTTTTGCTCTGAGCGTTGATGCTGGAGAAAATGGCTGCTGCAAGCCAGGCCCAGCTTCCCCTGTCCTCCTGTTCCCTAAATGCTCACCAGTTAAAATCAAGGGAAAGCAGGAAAAGACAGAACATCGACTCCTGGCAGGGGAGGAGACGTGTCTGTATTGCTTTGCAGCGCAGTGCATGCTCTTGCTTGAAGCAATAATCCACTCTCTAAGGTTCTCCCCAGCTCCTGTGTGCCAGCCCTTCCACCTGCTGCCCGGTCCGCAGAAGAGCAGAGCTTATGGTCCCATCCAGACCTAACAGAGCCCTGGGCAGAACAGGCTGCTAGAAATCCTCAGTGCAGGGTCACGCTTCACCAACCAGGGTTATAAGGTCTCCTCTCCCTCTTCCCCACCACCCTGAGCCCTACCTGAGACCAGGAGGTAGTGAACCACGTTGAACATGGCCTCTTGAAACAGGCAGCTTGCTCCTCAGGTTTCTGAGAGGCCTCACAGCGCTTCTCGGGGTACTCCCTGTACACACCGTTCTCCAGGCCCGCACATAGGACGACTCGGGTCTTCATCCCTCGCCCGCAGCTGGCATCACACTGGGAAAGAGAACATAACAGCCAGGTAACAAATGACGCTCATCAGCTGTACAGCTTCAGTAAGATGGCATCGTGCTCAGAAGCAAGGTGCATCATGTACGTGCTAATGCCACAGTCGATAGTGCTGCCCAGGTCAGCAGGAGCAATGGGTGTCTGCAAAGGAGCCGAATTTCTTAGGGAGCAAGGACGGGAGCTGGTAATTAGTGTTTAGTCAGCACTGGAGATGCCAAATTCACCTTGTCTGGCCTTGAGAGCAGCTGCCACAAGGGACCTGGAGCAGCCAAGGTAAAGATTACAAGAGGCTGTTTCTGTCTTATGTGTATCTATGTTCTCAAAAACCGTGTAGCCTATTCATGTAGCAACCTACCCCCTGGAGTACTGACAAGCTTTGCGTAGGCCCAAGGGGCCCAAACTGGTGCACTGCAGGTGCTTTGCATGGACAAATACTGCTGAGCCCAAAGCTATGCCGGCTTAGCTGGGAGCTCTCACTCTCTCAGGACACCACCAAGAGAAGCACCAGGAGGCAGGATCTGATTCTAGCTCAGCTCTGCTCCCTGATGCCCATGGACGCAGTTGCCAGTTTGATCTTTCACTGCTTTGTGCCCTTCACCCCAGCAG